AGCAGTGGTAGACAAATATGCTTCTGGAGGTAAACACCTTTCTTGTCACCTGATATTTAAATGCTCTCAGTGGGCATGGAATGTGAGATGCTTATATTTTCTAAATAAACCCATCTGTGATAAGACCCACACATATCTAAAAGCTTTTTATCATTAGTGACCTTTGTTTGTTTTAATATAAAGCCACTCAAGATATAGATTTACCTATAAACAAAACTTTTGCCATCTCCATTAATCAATATTGTAGTGACTAGCAGTTCTCCGAAAAAAACAGGACTTTAACACAATATTTTTTTCTTCCTCTTTTTAACTGTAAAAAGAAGAACTTAAAACACAGGAAAAATAAAACAAGACATTTTAATCCTATGTTGAATAGTCAGTCATATTCATTCTTATACTGTCTTTTTGATTACTCAGGTCAAGCCTCTTAGGCAGAGTTTAACAAATGGGATGCTGATTGCTGCTGCTGCTTCTGCGTCATGCATCATTGCGGGGCTGGCCTTTGTCGCCTGGCATCTAGTACTACAAAAAGTCATGAAGTCCGGCAAGCAAGCTCACTCAAGAGCATATGGGGAACTTATTTCCCACAGCTGACAGATCGACTCAGATTTTGTGAGACTGAAATGTTCACTGAAGACACTTGAGAAAGAATCCTCTAAAGATCCCAGCTCTGCACATGATTCATCTCCTGGAATTTCCATGTGAATCACAGCTCTGCACCTGGATGGAGCTTTCTTTTGTGTGTGTTTTTTTATTTGGTTGAACATTTGCTGCTAATGGGACTTGCCCAGCTGAGTGCTGGCTCTTAGGAAGCCCAGGTTTCTTTGTTAACTTAAATGAAAAAGGGAGAGGAGAGAGAGGAAAAAAACCCTCCAGTTAGATCCCAAACTTCAGCTCAGTGGTATTGCCAGGAGGGGAAAGACTGGTTGAAAGCTGACTGTGGACTTTGTTTCCCTTAGTATGTGCTGTGTTGTGAATTCCTCTCCTCCCTCTTCCGACTAGATTTTGAGTTGGCTGCTGGTTAGCAAACTCCTTTTTACCCATATAAGTTATTTAATATAATAATGAAGCTCAACACTGTGGTAGGAAAATAGCCACTAGGAAAAAAAGCAGAGTTTGTCATTGGACTGTTGAACACTCTAGGACTTTTTGTTTTCTTTGCCCCTCTGAGCTGTTTACAACTGACCACTGTGTTCTACAGATATATTTTTCAGTAGTTTTTTGTTAGTTTTCCATGACGCCTATTTTTTTTTTCTCTTGTAAATTTAAATGATCTGTCTTTAAGGGTCTTGGAAAAACCCATGGCCTAATTACAATTTAATTTTTTTAACAGACTGTTTTCATTGCTTTTTGGAAGCTGTTGTGACTAAACATGTGAACAAAGAATAAATTGGAAAAGTTCCCACCCCCACCCCCACCCCCACCGCAGCAGTGAACAAAGCAAATGAAAACATCTTGCTGTGAAAGGTGGATCTAATTGTGAAATAGTTCACCTTGTTAAACATCTAAATACGTCTGTAGTTGCTCTGCAAACAGCCATTATATTTATTTACTCTAGGAGAAGCTGTAGAGTAGTAAACCGTGATAATGAAAAAAACAAAACACCGTTCAAAACAGAGATGTATTTGAAAACTTAATGACGTGGTTTCGAAAAACAGAGCATGTGTATGTGCTGCACGCCATCTCAGCAGACCTGAAATGTCTCCAGGTTTTCCCTTTGCAACCATCAATATATTTTACACTCTGCGGCTAGGAGTTGTGGCGTCTTTCTTTTCTTTTATGGATGGAATTGTTGGGCCGGGGCGGGCTATTGTCGCAGAAGTTCAACTCAAGTGACTGGCTGAAAATATGTGTGTCCTCAAGGAAGTGGCCTTTAGGAGTATGTGTGTGGGCACGGATTTTCTGCAAATGAATCAGTAAGGATTTAATAAACATTACTTGCCAGGCATTTTCTAAGTGTAGATCATCACACACACACACACCCCTGCCCCCCTCTGTCCCCGCTCTCCGCTCCCCGCTCGTTAGATATAGAAACAAGCATATTAATAAAAATAATGATTTACCCAACAACACATAGCTAATGAGAGGCCCAGTGATTTGAAGGAGGCCTTCTAATTCCAGAGCCCAAGCTTTAAACCACACCGCCAAACCTTCTCAAATGTTGATAGAACCTTCAAACTTTCAAATAACCTGTGGCTCTTATTTTTCTGCAAATTTGTATTCTGTAGGTCTAGGGTGGGGCTGACGTGCTGATGCTGCTGGTTCTAGAATCTGCTTAGAGTAGCAAGACACCCCCAAATCCTGCCTCCTTTCCCCTGCACTGCCTTTCCCTGAACTTTGTGCCCCTGTAGCTGTTTTGGTGACAGCAGCAATGTTTATCTTTCAGCTGTCTACGTCAGGGTTTGGCAAACTATGGGCTGCTGGCCAAATCTGCCCATTTCATACTGCCCACAATGTAATAATGGTTCAAAAAAATCTAAAGAAAAATAGTATTTCAGAACACATGAAAATTATATGAAATTTAAATTTCAATGTCCATTAAGTTTTACTGGAACATACCCACACTCATTCATGCATATTCTTGAGGCTGCTTTTTG